ATTACTTTCAGAGGTAAGATGTAAGGTAAGAGGGTCTGCATCTCCTCTACCACAGATTCCTATAGCGCACCCAACCACCCACCTCAACCCTTTGAAGGTAGTAGTTAAATCCTAGGAACCCCATTCATAGACCTTCCTCCAGTGTTCCCCTACTTTGAACTGCTAAAAGCACCAGGAAGATTTAAAATGTTTATCTGGCAGTAGCAACTCTCATTAAAATTAGAACTTCTTTGTGCTGTTTTAGCCACTGGGCGATACACCAAACTTGCACACTTCAAGAGACAGCAACAAATTTCAGGAGGAAATCATGACCTTTCTGCTGTGCTCAGGCAGTCTGAAGAAATATTTCTGAGTAGCTTACAGGTTACACAGAGTCTGCAAAAATCCATGACATAATGGGAATTAATTTCCAGTTTCCAAAACTAGAGCTACTGGTGTTAACTTATGCTGTTCCCTCTCTTTCCCATTCTGTATCTAATCCATCACAGAGACCTGCCTCTCAGGTTTGTCCCTTTTTCACACTTCTGCCTGTGCCTCAGTCTACCAAACCTCCATCACTTCCTATTTTGTTTCCTATTGGCGGGTGGGGGGGGGGGGAGTGGATGATTTTTTTTGTTGTTTCCCTGGCTCCCAGCTCTCCTATTACTCATCCAGTTCAACATGCTTGAAAATGTGCTTACTTGTTTAACCACTTCTTTGTACCCTGCTCCATTCCTACAAGTGAACTAATCATCCCAAACTATCATTTACAGTCTGTTTCCCTGCCATTAGAGACCTCAGGAGGAAATGTAGACAGAAGGGGCAAAACAGGAGGAAATCGAATGTACTTGCTAAACCCTAAATCATGCACATGATGAGATGAAGTTTCTGTCCTGCTTTAAGATGCTGAAAGCAGTCTGAGAAATGTTCATTTCTACACCCAAATATTAGAATTTCCCGGATTGATGGTAAGAGGGAAATGGCACAGAATATAAAGCAGGAACTATCCCAGAAAAAAATCTAGGCCATGGGGCTTCAGTAGGTATGAAGAAATATAGTGGGAAAGAAAGAATACAGATATACAATCTATTGGCCTAAATTGCAGTTTCATCGAGGAAGGTTTATGTGGATTCTCTAATAGGAGTTTTAGTTTTTGTACTGTTGCAAAATTCAGCATCCTGATATACAATGAGACTCCTAATTAAACAACTTCAGGTAATCTTGGCCATTCTAGGGAATTTACGGCATTATCCACGATGTTCAGGAAGTTCATGTGAGGAGGACTACCAAGCCATTTTATTGTTGCTCATGATCCATCTGAGCCTAATTTAAAAACTCTGCTCCACAAATGCTAAATTCTTCAAAGTTACTGAAAATATCTATGGGTGACATGAGGATTCAGATATCCACTGGCAAGTCAAAACTAGCAAATATTTTCAAAATCAGAAGCAATGAGATATCAGAGCCACCTTTAATTCCTTTAGGAACAAGGCTGGTGGATCTAAAAACAAACTGACTCTGTGATTATACTAAAATCTTTTGAATTATACATTTTATTTATTTTTTTTTTGAGAGCACACACGCACACATAAGAGGGGCAGAGGGAGAAGGAGAGAGAGAATCTTAAGCAGGCTCCACAGAGTGTGACGCAGGGCTCCATCCAGTGACCCTGCAATCATGACCTGAGCAGAAGTCAAGAGTCAGATGCTCAATCAACTGAGCCACTCAGGCGGCCCCTGAATTATAAACTTGATTTTTTAAAAAAAAAATGCTTATTTATTTTGAGAGAGAGAGAGAGAGCAAGCATGCAAGCTTTTTTATTTTTAATGTTTACTTATTTAAGAATTGTACACTTTAGGGGCACCTGAGGGGCTCAGCTGGTTAAGTGTCTGACTGCAGCTCAGGTCATGATCTCACCATCTGTGAGTTCGAATGCAGCATTGGGCTCTGTGCTGACAGCTCAGAACCTGGGGCCTGCTTCAGATTCTGTCTCTCTATCTCTCTGCCCCTCCCCTGCTCACACTCTGTCTCTCTCTCTGTCTCTCAAAAAATAAATAAACATTAAGAAAAAAAAAAAAAGAACTATGCACTTTAAATTGGGAATTTCATGGTATGTAAGTTACATCTCAATAAAGCCTTTATTTTAAAAACCAACAAACAGAGGCGCCTGGGTGGCTCAGTCAGTTAAGCATCTGACTCTTGATTTTGGCTCAGGTCGTGATCTCACGGTTTGTGGGCTGGAGCCCTGAGTCAGGCTCTGCACTGACAGTGTGAAGCCTGCTTGGGATTCTCTCTCTCCTTCTCTGTCCCTGACCCTGCACTCTCCCCTCACCCCCCAGAATAAACTTAAAAATTAAACTAAATTAAAAAATTAAAACAAACACATTTTAACCAAAATGTTAGTTTCCAGAAATGTTATATCCTTGGAACCTAGCTATCACCCTTAAAATGTTTATGCTGCTGGAAAAATTTACAAAATGGAAGCCCTGATAACTTACTATGAGAAAACCATTATCATTTTAGCTACAAAGAATAAACTGAATGGTCTCCTGCCTTTCACTGTAATGGGAGCTGATCTGTATCACATATCAAAATCTGCCTTTAAGCTCTGAATGACATTTTTTAGAAGGGCACTTTTCAGATTTAACCACCATGTTAAATGCCATAATTATGACATGGCACTAATACATCTTTCCTTATAATCTACTCCAGAACTTCCTTCCCTATAATCTTCTGTGAAGGTAAAATCCTTGTGTTTATCCATTGATTTAACCTCTAATGATTTCCTTCTTCCTCTAATAATCACTACCCAAGCTTTTATCTCTAGAATCATTCCCATGTCCCAACCCATTCCCTAATTTCTACTAATAAATACACCAGCTGTCTCCCTGCTGTGGAGGTAACAACAGGTTATGTATGCCCCTGGATATTCAAAGTAGGTCAAGAATATAAGAAACAGACTATGAGCCCTGTAAGGGAAAGGGCTGTGTCTTATTCATTGTTAGAACCTCCCAATATTAAACAAAGTATCTGGCACCTGAGAGGTTCTCAATAAATATTCTGGCCCACCATTAAGCTAAGGCCCATTCACAAAAAAAAATTAGCCAACAAATAGCCAAGTGACAAGATTATACTTAGGCATCAATGTATTTAGAAGGCAATTTAAGCTCAACTCACTCTTGATGTCTAAACCCAGTCTGTCTTTACAATGCATAAAAGGTGAATTTTAACAGTGTGTGATGAAGCTATGACCAAAACCCAAATCCTTGCAATTTAAAAATCACAGTATTTAAAAAAAAAATTTTTTTTCTCCAAAATTATCTTTGGAGTAAAAAAGCCAATCTAAAACCAAGAGCAATTTATTATCCAAGTTCTAGTTAAGCAGCCTACAATTAGGCAGCTCACTGATGGACTCCTCACCACAGTGAAGAGTGGAGGGCTATACAAAGGAACTAAGAAATGTTTACAAACCTGTATCTCTTCATAGGAAAATGCCTCTGACATGTCTCAGGACCACCCTCATATGTTCATTATGAGGAATAAATGAGTTATTATTTGTAAAGCACTTAGAGCAATACCTGGCACATAGCACTGGACCAATGTTTATTAATAAAGTAACTGAATCAGTTTCTAATTGCATTCATTCATACATTAGAGGCCTACAATGTCTAAGAAAATTACCAGGTTTGGAGAGAAGTTCCTACTGTGAAGTCTTTAAATCTATGGCTGGAAAAAAAGGGCTCCTAGAGAGTGTTTCAAGCCAACTCTTCATCTCATGGTTGAAGAAATTAATCATATACCTCATATTTGTTGAGAAATTCACAGGTTGCAAAAGTTTTCCCATCTATTACTAGGTCTGATCTCACGACAGCCTTGTAAGAGATGCTGGGCAGGTATAATTAACTCCATTTACAGATATGAGACAACCAAACAAAAGAAGTTAAGTGACTTGCCCAAGGTCACACAGTAAGTGAAAAGGCCTGGGCCAGAATCCAGGTTTCTTGACGGTGAGTCTAGACTTCTTCCATAACATGCTACAACTTGGGTCCTGGCTTTACTTGGGTCACATGTGGAAGCAATGATTCTAAGATTAAAAGGAGATTCTGGGGCAAATGTGAACTTGAAAAGTTAAGGCAATTCTGTTAACTGGAATTAAAGGTAATTAACAGTTAGCAAAACACCTACGTACACTGGAGTTATAGTATAAAATGCCATGACTACACACATTCACAAAGCACCACACTGCCCAAGACAAATTTTCATAAGACTTCAAAGGAACAGTTTTCCAAAACATGCGATTCATGGATTACCAGACCCAGAGAACAGTGATGTCCGTTTAAGAAAGAAAAGGCTGCCACTTTCCTTAAGGCTCGCCCCAGAGGATAGTGAAGACATGGAGCATAACAAGGCTCTAAGGGATTACACGTAGGTAGCAAACTCCCAGGGACAAATGAGAACAGAGCATCCCAGCCCATGAATCATCTCGCATTTATCCGGCTGTATCTTCCTCAAGGGCTCACCACCCCCAGGGAGGCAATGTGAAACCCGGCAGCTTAAGGTGAAAAACGGACTGGCGACCGTGTTTGCAGGACTCCAAATAATCTCACAGAGAGGCTGGCTGGCGGTAGAAGTGGCACCGCATACCGACACAAGACGTTATTTTAAGCTCCTGTCCCCAAGGGAGGGACCATCTGATCTACCCGATCAAGCATCTCCTGTAACCTGGCTTTTTCCAAAACCAAACCGACAGGCAGGGCAATCCTGGTGGCGGCCCTTTTCCAATGAGAAACCCGCTGAGGATCCAGCCCAGGAAGCGTGGCAGCGGCGAGACCCCCGAGAAGGGCCTTCTCCCCGAGTGCCCAAAAGAGGAAGGCGCCTCTGCGGCAGGCCCGCCGGGCCGAGGGTTTTGAAATGCTCGGGAAGGGGTGGTGCAGCCGCGCGGGGCCCCCGCGCCCCCGCCCCTCCCCAACCCGACAGCCGGCGGCGTCGGGCCAAGCGGCCCCCTCCCCGCGAGGCCTCACCTTTGTGTAGAGCTCGGATGCGGCCATGGCGGGGTCCCCCAGCGCCGACGCCCCCCGCCTGAGCGGAGGCCGCACCTCGCCTGGGCGGCCGCCCGCGCCAAGTAGGAAGCGCCCAGGCAGCAGCCGGCAGCGCGCGGGGCAGGGCCGGGCGGGGCTGGCCGCGGCGGGCGGGGCGGGGCGGGGCGCCTCAGGCGCGGGCGGCCCGCGGGGATCTCGCCATCACTCCCGGGCTCGCCGCGAGCAGGCGCGAGCGCTCCGCGTGCCCGGGGTCCTCGGGGTCGCAGCCGCAGCCCCCTCGGCGGCCGGTGATGCTGCCGCCGCCGCCGCCGCCGCCCTGTGCATTGTGGGAGCGGGAGGAGGCTGCGCTCCGGCGCTGCCACAGCCGCTGCTCAGGGAGCGCTCCGGCTCACGCTGCCTCCCCTCGGCTGCCGGGTCGGAGCATCCCTGCCCTGCCAGCCGGCGCCGCCGAGGCCGGGAAGCCCGCCCCGGCCACTCTTTGGTGGCACACCTGCCCCGGGGGCGCGTGGCACCCCGGACGTCCCTTCTCCCCCACAGCGAGCCCTGGACTGTGCAGAATGGCCCAGCTACCGAGAGGGGCGGTGATAGCTGGCGTCACTGCGTGTGTCCAGGTAAATACCTAGGAGTCTCCAGATGCTTTTCCTATCCTTCCAAGCAATTTTAGAGAAAGGATTTGGGAGGAAGCTTCTTCGAAGTCCACAGAAAAACCTAGAACTCCCAGACGAGTCCTGTTAGGAGCAGCGATCTGGGAGCTGAACAGCGAGGGCCAGTAATCTGGGATAGAGGATCACCAAGGTCACCCTAACATCAGCCCGAGCAACGCTTCTGCTCCCAGGGGGCGTCTCCTGCTAAGCCTATGTGTTTGTGGAGGTGCCCCTGCCCTTCCGACACAGTCCTGTTCCTCCTGGTGATTATCTATTCCATGCCACCAGAAGCTATCCGGATGCCACCTTTTGTAGAAAGTGCATACTGCAAATTCACTCTATCAAAAGGTCAAAGGACTCTCAGGAGTGCCATTCAGTCTGCTCACTGTTATTCTTGCACATCAAGCACAAGAATGTGGTCTTCCCACACTCCCACCACTGTGCCCATACTGTGTTCAGCTTCTACCTGATCTGCACCCACACTTTCACTCCTGGCCTTCTAATCTCCATATTTTTTTTTTAATCCCAGCCTCTTTTTATTGTTCTTATTTTATTTCTTTGAACTCTGAAATGCCTTTCCTGGCAATCTGGGATGGTTTCTATTGAGACCAAGTCTCAAGGCTGGCCCCAGTGTGTGTCCACCATGAGTATGTGAAGGAAGACCATTGATATGTTGGGGGAGGGCTTAGGGCCAGTCCTCACTCCCTGGAATTCAACCCTGTCCTTCCCTTACTCACTTCCCACAATCCCCTCAGAGATGCCACAGGTAATGGCTACAGAATCCAAAGACCCACAGGATTCTCTGTTCCTTCCAATTCTAAAATCACATATCTTTCATGTTTTGGGGCCCCACCCTTTCTTTGTCCAGACATAAAAAGGGAAAATGTGCAGCTATGAGCAGTACAACCCAAAGGGCACTGGATTGAGCTTTAGGAGGCTTGAATTCTACCCCTTATAATTTCTTCATGCCTTGTGTAATGTGGTAACCACTCTGTTTCCTCATCCTCGGATAATACTTACCTCTCAGGACGGTTCAGAAATGCTGATGAAGGAGTTCAGGGCATACACCCCAGGGTATGCTGCTTTGGCATACCAGATATTTTGAGTTCAGAGCACTTGAAAAACAGCAAATACAAGAAGAATATTCTTTTCCTTAAAAGCAGGAAATGAAATTCCTATATGAAACATGTCCTCCCTATACCAGAAGGAAAGTAACATTCTTGTCATCAAAAGAGGCTGAGACCAAGAGAATTCTGTACCAAGAGACCCTTGTTAACTTAATTCTTTCCTACCATTCACCTCCCCACATAGTCACTTTTCCACAGTTGCTTCTTTTTGTAAAAGCAATTAGGTTTTGCCATTTCTTTGGGTCTTGAATACTCCTGTGTCACAGAAAACCATATAAATATATATGTCACTTCTCCTCTTACTCAGTCTTTGTCAGTTTAAATTTTAGACATAGTTAGGGACCCCACAAGGGTTGAGGAAAACTTTCTTCCCCTATATTGAGAAAAAAAACTTAAAAAAGGATCTCATAGATGAGTCGCTTTTTTTTTTTGATAGATAGACCAAAAACTAGAATTATTGTCTTCTAATTGCTGAACACATGCATTCAACCACTCAAATTTGGGAGGCCACAGTAAGAAGAGGAAGGTAATGGAGATGAGGAAGAGGAGAAGGATTCTCTACCCTTGACTTGACTTTTCCTCATTCAGATAGAGTAGACTTAACAGCCAAAAGAAGCAACAAGGAAACCCAGGTGGCTGGCCTTCCACTTTAATCATGTACATTCACAGTCCCAAGTACGTCATGAAGTATGGAAAATAGCAATAGTCACAACTTCCCAAGACTTAGGATTCCCCCCTCCCGAAGAATACTCAGATGTCATTGTATATTTTAATAAAGTTCTCAAGTATCACTTTATAATTGGGAACATTTTCATATGGTCTCAAATGAAAACAGTGTCCAAAGCATCCCTCTCATCCAAAGCATTTGTGAATATTACTTTTTGCAACAAATAGTGAGAGCCATGATGTGCCAGACACTGTTTTACATGCTGAGGACTTGTGATTGAACAATACAGATAAAGCTCCTGACCTCAAGGAGTTTATATTCTAATCAGGGAGAGAGACAATTATAAAGGTAGAAGGTAAAGAAGACAAGTATTCATTTGCTGGGATTGCCCTAATAAAGCTCCACAAACAACATCGCTTAAACTGTAATGTGCTGTATGATCTGGAGGCTAGAAGTCTTCGATCAAAGTGTTGGTAGAGTTGGTTCCTTCCAGAAGCTGGGAGGGAGACTGTTCCAGGCCTCTCTCCAGTATCCTAGTGGTTTGCTTACAGTCTTTGGCATTCATTGGATTCTGCTGCTCACCCCAATCCCGGTCTTCATCTTCACATGGCATTCTTCCTGTGTGCATGTGTGTCTGTGTCTAAATATCACATTTTTATAAGGCCACAGTCATGTAGGATTAGGGCCAGCCTAATGACCTCATCTTAACATGACCATCTACAAAGACCCGATTTCTAAATAAGGTCTCATTCACAGGTACTGGGAGTAAGAAGGACTTAAATTAGGAGTGGGAAACTCTGGAGTTGGAGAAGTGAAGGGGTAGGGAGCCAGTAGTTTCTGATGCCTGCCTTCCATCTTTCAAAAGTCTTCTAGGTCGGTCTTACTCTATCCTTAATTTTGGCTTTTCTGCTTCATAGCTTGTTTCCCTTATAGTACTTTTTCCCTTATACTGTTCTTTTATATATCCTTTGATAATAAATGATCTCCCATACATATCATTATTTGGATCTTCCAGTGAACTATTTTGGGGTTCTTCCCCATCCATTCAAATGTCACTCTTGCCCCAGGGTTTAGTTTTCTGAAACACTATTAGGATATATAAATGCCAACTAATTAACCAGTAATGCAGTGCTTTGCTTCTGCCTCTGGAATGGGCCAATTTTACAGAATTAGAATTACTATTTTTAATGTGCTTATTTATTTTGAGAGAGAGAGAGCTTGAGCAGGGGAGTGGCAGAGCGAGAGAGAATCCCAAGCAGGCTTTGCACCACCAGTGTAGAGCTTGATGCGGAGCTCGAATTCATGAACTCCGAGATCATGTGCTGAGCTAAAACTAGGCATCAGACGCTTAACTGGCTGAGCCACCCAGGCACCCCTAGAATTACTACTTTCTGTGATCATGCAGCGTGGACTTCCCCTTCCCCAGCTACTCATTGTAGTGAGCTCCCCCAGGTCAAAGACTATATTTCATTAATTTCTGTCTTTATTATGTTAAGTGCTGGCACATAATAGTCCCTCCATAAAATTATTTTTTTCAGTTTGAGTAAATCAATGACCACTCTACTAAATTACTGCCCTCCCACATTCTCTTTTCTCTGTTTAGTTTTTCTCCACTGTACACAGTTATGGGTTAAACAACTAAGCTACCCAGATGTCTCTAAATAAACTTTTAATTTTTTAGTTTCATATTTATAGAAAAAATTGAAAAGATAATACAGAGTTCTCATACACCTGAGCAATGGATTGAATGTTTATGCCCCTGCCACCCTCCCACGCCCACCGCTGCCTACTTCATGTATTGAAATCCTAATCCCCTAAAGTGATGGTAGTAAGATGTGAGGCCTTTGGAAGGTGATTAGGAAAGGAGGGTGGAGCCTTAATGAATGGCATCAGTGCCCTTATAAAAAGAGACCCCAGAAAGATCCTTCACCCTTCCTAGCATGTAAAGGTACAGTGAAAAGACAGCCATCCTTGAGGAAGCCAGCCCTCCCCAGACACCAAATGTGCTGGCACCTTGATCTTGGGCTTCTCAGCCTCCAGAATTGTGAAAAACGTCTGTTGTTGATGAGCCATCCAGTCTATGGTATTTTGTTATAGTACTTTGAATAGATTAAGACACCCTGCACCATTTTGCCTTATCATCTTAGTACACTTGCTAAAATTAATGAATTAATGCTGACATCATTAACTAAAGTCCACACTTTATTCAGATTTCCTTGGTTTTACCTCATTTCCTTTTCTGTTCCAGGATCCTGTATTACACTTAATCATCTCAAGTGGATCTTCTTGGCTAACAGTTCTTCCCTTGTCTTGTTTTTGATGACAATTTTGAGTAGTAAGGTCAAGTACATTGTAGAACATCCCTTAGTTGGGATTTGTCTTGCTTAGACTGGGTTTTTTGTTGTTTGTTTTGTTTTGTTTTTTTGTGAGGGAGAGTGCCATTTCATCACATCAAGTCAAGGGCCATACTATCAAGGTGATATCACTATTGATATAGACCTGGACCATCTGGCTCAGGTAGTGTTTGCCAAGTGTCTCAATTGTAAAGTTACTATTTTCCCTGTTATAGGCTGAATTGTATCTCCTCAAAATTCTTATGTTGAGTTCTAACCCCCAGTAACACAGAATGTGAC